ACGCTCCAGCATCATCTGTCCTCCACAGCTGTTGTCATTTTCAATATAGCTATAAGGCAAGGCAGGGCAAGTTTATACGTAGGTGACATTTAATACAAAAAGGCATAAAGACACAGATAAGATAAATACATTTGCATAAAAGGTATTTTAAATAAAGATGTTTAAAGAAGAAGAAGAAGATAATGGGGAAATTACTTTTAAGTAAAAAAAAAAGACAGATGAGAGATGAAAAAAAATGCAATTTCAGTGCATATCATTAAATACAAAGTGCAATGTCAAGCAGAAAAGTCATTTGCAGTTTAACATATTGTAGCATTGGCTTTATCAAAGGCCCTGTTCCAGCCCACATGAGGAGCTTGCTGCGGCTCACTACAAAGGGAAACGATGGTTGGAGTGGGAGTAGATAGCACTCCACCATTCCCGCAGCCTTGGCTCAGGACCCATGGCGGCACCGCGTCACATGGTCCCAGAGGTGAACATGGTTGTGGCCTAAAGGCTTGAAAGCAGCAGCCAGGTCTGTGGGCGCATGACTTGATAAAGCCTGGCTAACCACGACTTAAATACACTGTGTAAATATCTGCTTTAATCATGTGGCAAAACAGAAGATTACTTAACTGGAGTATATTAATTGTCTATTTACAGCTGATCATCACACACTCATCGGGAATTACATTGAGTCACATGAGTATGATGAGGAGCTCTGCCTGGGACATGAATTGCCTTTTGTTGTCCTTTCTTTGTACATTTAGGCTTTCTACTGAGTGATGCAAGACAACATTTGAACATTTAATTACATCGCACCAGCATATCTAAAAACACTCTCAATAGCAGCAATACTTTTGTTTTGCGCCGCATACAGAGAGAGCAGAGAGGAGGCTGGTCCTGCCACAGAACAGGACACATGTTGCCACATTCTCACGGTGTCGGTTAGCCTAACCTCTTTACCCAGAACTCTTGGCGAAGTTCTGCTAAGTTGAGTCATCTCGACGCAGCTTAAATCTTCAGCTTCACCCTCGCACAAACCGCTTTGTGAGTCACACTGATAAAGCACTTAGACCTGCACACATCAAATAAACAGATTTAGATATTGTAACAGTCCTGATTTGACCTCATGCAGTTGAGGATTGGTTGATTGGAACATTTTGCTTTCCTTTCAGTTAGAACCATCAGGAGATACATGGGAAACTACTGACTAAAGGCTTTTGAGAAGCATATATTAGTGTTTCAGAAGCAACCCACGCTGTGGATTAACCTTGCAAAACACCAAAAGTGGTTTCAACAAACCCCCGCACACACAAACCCATACACTCTTTTCCACTGCAACGTCAACCCTTTATACATCACCTGATAGTTCTGTATGCTGTCACTGCTGTGAATAATGTGTCTATGGGAATGACTCGTCCAAGTGAATGAATAGCAGTGTGTGAGCCATTGTTCCACTGAAGAAACTTAGATTTGCCTTCACCATACAAAAGCAATGATGGGTTATGAGAGCTACTTCATTACACATGGTCATTCATCAAAACCAGATATGTACGCTAGAGCTGCAGGGACTAATCGTTTATTTCTTGCGGATTGAATTAATGGGCAACTTTTTTGATAATTTATTAATTGTTTGAGAGGACATATTCTGCTCATTTTTAGGTTCATGTTTGTATTTTGGGCCTCTACGGTGACATGTTCACAGCTTTTTACTCATACTGCCTCTTTTTAGCCTCTGTCTGAAACCAGAGCCCAGTCTGCTCTGATTGGTTAGCTGGTTAGAAATGGAAGTGGCCGACCCTTAGCCTATCAACTACAATGTGTTAGAGCTAGCCAATAGGAGCGCTAGTGTTATATAGCTGTCACTATGTTTCGGAAGTAAAAAAAGGAGTCCAATGGAGATGTTTTAAGCGGGGGGGGGGCTATGTGGGAGAGAATGTTTGGGAATTTAGCCTTTGCAGAACATTTACATGCACAAAAACCTGCGGGAGGAAAAGGAGAACCCCAAAAAGCATAATAGGGGCCAAGTTAGTCAAACATTTCTGATTCCAGCTTTTAATGTGAATATCTTCTAGTTCTTTAGGACAGTCATTCTATATAATTCAGTACATTTGACATGTCACCATGGGCTTTTTCATTTCACCATTTCTGACATTTAATAGATACAACGACTATTCTATTATCCAAGTGCATAACTGAACATGTAAATAATCATTGGTGGCCCGATTGGGTGCATTTCGTCAATAAGCAGACATCATGGCTGGAAAGCTAATATTTGCTAAGCTCTTTTGTGTCCTAGGCTGCAGTGCAATAGTTTAAAAACGAAACTGTGTGGAAAGAGGGAAAGAAATATGCATTCTAATTCAAGTTTGACTGCGATATTCATCATTTGAAACCCAAGTCCTCCATCAAAATAAGCCATGATATAAAATATTCATGATGGAATGTCGGCAACCTCTCACAACTTGAAATTTGTGCTTATAAAATACATTGAGAAGGGTAGAGTTTCTTTTCTGAGGTGATGTTAATATTTGCTGAAAGGTTTCAGTGTGTGTGAATATGTTTCAGGTTTGTTTGTTATGTGCAGAGTGCAGACCTGCCTGCTGTCGTTGAGTGAAATCAGAGACAGGTTGGCATGAGGAAGACTTGCCTTGGCAGCGCTCCGGCCGCAGACGGGTTCCGGTATGAGTGTACAGTATAGTTTGCCTCTTTGTGGCTTCACGACTCTGCTGCTTTGAGAAAGACTTAACCATGCGACAGACATGCTCTCCACTTTCCCACAGCCACTGAGCAGCCAAGGCTACTCTTATGGTTGCTTAACATTTGCACTTGGCTAACTACTTGGCACCTTGATATTTCAGCATCTTCCATTTTTCCTTGCTCTTAAGAGAAGCACTTTGTGTACTTTAACCAAGAGAGCTGCGGTTGTATTTCAACACTTCAAGTGACTGACTAAAGATTGATCAGGTTGGGTATATTTGTGATTTTAAATCCTGCCAGAACTGTTTTGACAGGAAAGGTTCATGCAGTTTCACTCCCTCCATTGAGACACCTTTGATAAAATATAAGATAAGATAAATGTAATATATGACAGAATCTCATTCCACATTTTCAATTGTTCGGTTTCTTTCAGGCTGCACTAGTTCAGTGGAGTGACTCAGAATTTACATAAGCAAAGTTGTCGAAGCCCACGGTCAACAGCCTGGGGATGAGAGGTTGATGTGAATCACCTCATCCAACACTTGTGGTTATAGCAATGTCTCACTTGTTAGCTCAATGTTTCCATTATGCTAATGAGGAACATATACATGCTTCCAAACCGACATCTGTGATCAGCCCCGGGCTCAGTGACAAGATCCCAGGCCCTCGCACACAGCGACCATTTGAGAGCAGGGATATCACATATGCAGATGACACTGCCTTATAATTGCATATTGTATAATTTTATTTGCAACAATTTCAACAGTATTTGAATAGTTGCATGCTGTTATTCAAATACTGTTGACATGTTTGTGTCCAAATGTCTTAAAAATGCATTAATTTGTTGGACATTGTAACCAAGCAGCATAATAACTCCAAAAAAATAAATAAGAAAGATTTACTGGTGTATTTAAACAAGTCATATAACAAACACAATGTTTCCTACGTGTTAAACTAAGAGCTGTTACTTTCAGTTTGGGAAACAGTGCTGATCAGAATGAATCATCACTATTACACATCAATGGCTGCATCTTTTAAATATGTTTTTATGAGGGGGGGTGAGCTTGCACCACTGTTCACAGTTGCTGTGTGTTGTGTCTGTGCATCTCCCCCAGCCTTCCCTAAATCAAGAAGGCAGAAGTGAGAAACGGTTGTGAAGTACGACCAGCGTCTTCCTGTTGTGTGTGTGTGAGAAACCCCAGACGGCTGTCTAAGTTGCTCGCACGCAAACGCCGGCCCGGGAACCATGGTAACAGAAGGTCCCCATACACAGAAGGCGGAAGTGAGCCGACGCGCTGAGGAAGTTATTGGTTTTTTGATGGCCATTGCCGTGGTTTCATGAGAAAGACCGTGACTCGGCCCTTGTGTTGCGCAGACGGCCACCAGCGTGGGAATGTAGCCTTCATAGTGATGACAGTGGTGACACCTATGACCTATGATCTGTTACATCCTCAAACACGTGAATTAGAGCAGGATTCAGCATGAGAACATGTCTTTTAACATGTAGATATGTCAGCCTGCAGCAAAAAGATTCTACTTAAAGAGATTCTACTGAATACATCTCTATCATTTCATCACCATCATTCACACTCTCAGAAACACACACATTGATCCAACTTTCGTAGAAAGTGGTGCAACTTAAAGATCCCCTCCACTCAAAAAGAGAGGTGAGTTTTCCCACGCTAGATTAGGCATATCACACATTTTCAAAGCTGCTAATATGCACATGTTGCATTATCATGGTTAAAGTTGTGGCAGCCAACATGCATACAAATGTGGGCCTTGTTGCATGCAAACCAGATCCCGGAGCTTCCTTCATCTACAGTGGGGCAAAAAAGTATTTAGTCAGCCACCAATTGTGCAAGTTCTCCCACTTAAAAAGATGAGAGGCCTGTAATTTTCATCCTAGGTATACCTCAACTATGAGAGACAGAATGAGAAGAAAAAAATCCAGAAAATCACATTGTCTGATTTTTAAAGAATTAATTTGCAAATTATGGTGGAAAATAAGTATTTGGTCAATAACAAAAGTTCATCTCAATACTTTGTTATATACCCTTTGTTGGCAATGACAGAGGTCAAACGTTTTCTGTAAGTCTTCACAAGGTTTTCACACACTGTTGCTGGTATTTTGGCCCATTCCTCCATGCAGAACTCCTCTAGAGCAGTGATGTTTTGGGGCCTCTCAGGCACCCACAACCAGCGTCTGATCGGGTAAGACTAATTAAAAATGTAATTATACCATGTAGGTTTGAATTTGTGAACATGTAATCAATAAATACCTTTGTGTGCACTTATTTCCTGGGTAAAAATAGGATGGAGAACCAACCCCATTCCAGGAAGAGGTCCAGTCTGCCCGGGTCAGAACCACTTCTATAGGTAAACCATGTTGACAGTTGTTTGGTGTGTATCTTTATTTTACATTTGTTTGTTTGTATAGCCTCCAATCACAGTGGGTAACATTGCCAGGAAGCAGAACAATTATACTTTCATACATTTCCAAATGACACCCACAACATCTGACATCTTTAGTGAAGACGATACAAAAAACACCCACAAATATTTTTCAAAGATCAGATATTGTTTGTTGCATCCATTTCAAATGTTTACAAGGATTGTGCAGGAGTATGACAAAAGTGCTGTTTAGAACCCAATGTATTGAAAAAACAGGAAGAGGATCGACATCCTTTTGTAAATATGACTGTCATGCATATATTATGTATTTGAAAATAATTATTCAACTGTCTTCTCACTGCAGCAACGACACAAATGTGTATGCACTTATCATTATTGATAGCCAGTCTGAGCCAGAAGACAAAATGGAGCAAATGTATTAATTGTTACTATTACCACTTAATTTTTCTATTCTATACTGTAAATCTTATTACCAGCTTCATCATATTCTCACAAGGTACAGGGAGGAAACTGCTAAACCATAACTGTTATGTTCTTGTTTTGTATTCAATTTATGAATTTATGTTTATGAATTTGTGTATACATATGTGTATATATATACTTATGAATATATAGAGACAATTCTCTTAACTTGCCTGTATATATTATATGAATGATTATATGAATTATTCAGGGTTAGGGTATTCATTTATATTGTATGTTAACGTATATTAAGATGTAAAAAAAAAAAGTAAAAAAAAAAGGGAGAAGGGGTCGGATTAAATAAGTGTAAACTTCTTCCGACCCCTTTTCGGACGTGTAATTAGCTAAAGTTTTTTTTTTTATTATTGTTATCAGACAATGATACTACAGATTATTCAATTATTATTTAAATATTTCGTTTTGTTATTGCATTCATTTGTATAGTACTGTATCATGTCTGTATCATCTTTTGTTTCATTTGTATTTTCTTTGGTTTTACATGCTCGAAAAAAATAAAAAAATAAATCATTTAATATTACAATTAGGGCTGTCAGTCGATTAAAATAGTTAATCGCGATTAATCGAAAATTAATCGCACATTTTTTATCTGTTCTAAATGTACCTTAGAGGAATATTTTTCAAGTTTTTAATACTCTTATCAACATATGAGTGGACAAATATGCTTTATGCTAATGTTTATTATCATTTGAACAATGACAAATATTCTCATGAATATTAAACACAACAACCTCTGAACATTACAAATATTCGCCTCAATTCAATCACAATAATACAATACAAAGTGTGTGTGTGTTTGTGTGTGTGTGTGTGTGTGTGTGTGTGTGTGTGTGTGTGTGTGTGTGTGTGTGTGTGTGTGTGTGTGTGTGTGTGTGTGTGTGTGTGTGTGTGTGTGTGTGTGTGTGTGTGTGTGTGTGTGTGTGTGTGTGTGTGTGTGTGTGTGTGTGTGTGGTGTGTGTGTGTGTGTGTGTGTGTGTGTGTGTGTGTGTGTGTGATGGATCGTTGAAGCTATGTGCAACTCAAGGCATATGCTCGAATGGGAGCTGCCTGGACGCTGCAATCATGTTGCGCACTATCCGTGCTGAGTGTGCTGACTTTTCGTACAATGTCCCACTGTCTGACTTCCTGCATAAAGTCAAGTGCTCGGCGCAGTTGTGGCGAAATGTCGCTCCTCTGTTTTAATTTAAACAGCTCCATATCCGTTAGCGCAGCTAGCTAGCACCAGATGCTAACAACAACAATGCACGGAAGGTCTCTCTCTCGCTCACTCGGGCCACACATACACACACCCTCCCGGTCCTCCCAATAGCCAGTCGGTGCCTGCCGGTGAGCGTGGAAGTGTGGTCTGCCTCAAGCGGGCGGCAGGAGCGGGGCTGTCAGCATCAGCTTGTAGATGGTATTTTAAACTTGATGCTCTCTGAAACTACGGGGCGACCGAGGACAAAAAATACACATGCGTTAATCGCGTTAAAATAATTAGTGGCGTTAATTTTTTTTGACAGCCCTAATTACAATACATCACTTTGTCTTTCCCAGCACAGATTACCTGACTGCGGCACACATTGTTGCAAAACTCTCTGCAAAAAGAACAAATACATCTTGCAGCCGGTTCAATATGAATAGAGCCAATGTGTGGGATGGAGCAATCCGCGGCTTCAAAGGTGCCTCATTCGATCCCTCTCATGAGATGTCAGTTAAGTTCACTGATGATGAGGGACACACTGAGGATGGAGGGGACACTGGTGGTCCCAAGCGTGAGTTCCTGACCCTCCTTATGGAATGCCTGAGAATGCGAAGAAAACATCACGTCAGCAACTGTTTGTGCCCCATGGCGGCGTGACTTTCCAGCCGCTCACTGTCTCAAAATCTGATTCTAAATGTATAATGTTCTCTATAAAGATATAACTAATACACAATTATGAATGTATAATATAAGCTGTTTTGTGTATTTAATCATGCATTGGTCTACAATTGAATGATGGCTTCTACATATTTCACATAAACAGACAATGAAAAAATGTGTCCTTCATGCTGATAACTAGTGTATGTATCTGCCAATTAGTATTCTAAACAGAGTAGTGTGTTGAATCCTTATGTCTTGCATTTGAAACAGATACAATAAAAAAAGTGAACTTACTGTTGTGTTCAACTTCTGTCAAAAACGGTACATGTTTGCCACAGGAGCCACAGAACACTTGAACTGTCCCCAGATGCTGGCCACAGAAAGGACACAACATGGCAGCCTGAAAAGACATACATTGATGTAGTAAATCCATTTAATCAAGTCAATCAAAAACACACAGTCTAAATAGTGGTTAGCTAAATAAATAGAAAGATACATCATGTTTACCGTTGAATCTGTGTTTTGTCTCTCTCTCCTTGAATGTCTTCTCTATAATTGTTCTTGAGCATGTCTAATGCACACTACTCTCCTGTCATTACTTTGTCCCTCTTCACATGTTGTCACTTCTCTTTCTCTCTCTCTCTCTCAATTCAATAGCTTTATTAGCATGACCATAGTTACAGGCTATTGCTAAAGCTCTGTATAGTTGCAACATCTATACACAAATCAGGGTTGCCAACTCTCATGCATCTGGCGTGTGACACACGCTTTCACTCTCAATCTCACGCTCTCCACACTATTCTCACGCCAAAAACAAGATGAACCGGAGATCGTTTTTGCTTGGTTATTTACAATGTTGAGTTGACAGCTGCTCGTTGTATGACCATTTTAGACCACTGATATACCATAATATAATATATAATAATAATTCAAGTACATCCTTTCAAACTGCTAGTCACATCCTCATGTAAATGGAAATGTATCGAGGTCAGAAAAGTTATGGAGTTCATTTTTATTTATCCTACGATAAGTCATGTAATTGCTTATCGCGACAGGCCTATGCACACAATAAAACAGTGGAAACAAACATGTGTTTGACTTTCATTAGTGAATGAAACTGTGTGCCCTTTATAGTCTGTGTCCAATATTGTGTATTCGTATATGTGACCCGCTCTATCGAAATCAGTCGGAAGTCGCAACGGCTCATTTCAAAATAAACGTGGATTTGCGTAAAAAACTATTTTTTCGGGGTTTGGGTGTTTTGTTTGATTTTAAACAAACAAAGTCTTGGCTTTCAGAATATGAAACTTTTATTTCCAAACTCACACGATAAATACATTCTTTAAGCTTGTAAAGGGAAGATGACAGGCAATCTGCTCTTCCGCAGCGCCGCCCCCCGTCCCTCCGGCTGACATTATGAATGTGAGTAATCATAAATAACACGGCAGGGTCCGTTATAGTTTGTTTTCATCTGATTTCAATTAAACAAAGTATTGGCTTTCAGAATATTAAACTTGTTTCGGCAAATTCAGATGATAAATACAACTTTGAAGCTTGTAACGGCATAATTACAAGCGGAGAACGGAGTAGGCTTGTTTGAGACGCGTTGCGGCTCGCCTCGAAAGTAGACGAGAATAGCCGATCGCAGCCGGGGGAGGTCTCAAAAAGCTCGCCTGAAGTCGGACAGCTCGGAGTCGGCTTCTTCTTCTTCTTCTCTCGGTTTTTTGGCGGATTGCAAACAACTTTAAGGTGCATACCGCCACCTCCGGAGTCGGCTTGACTCGGTTTGCATTTATCAAGAATGCACACATGTGTTTAATCGTTAATGTCAGATATGTAGCCTACTAAGTAAATACATTTGTTCCTGCTCAAGATTAGATTCAACTTTATTGTTATTGCACATATTACAGGTACTGAGACAACGAAATGCACTTTAGCTTCTAACCAGGAGTGCGACAAGCAGTAAAGTGAAAAATAATGTACAACATCTACAGAATACAATATAGAATTAATTGAATGATGAATAAACAGGGTATGAATACACTATACACAGCAGCCTGTGAGCAGTATGAACAGTGTGTATGAATATGCTATATTTATATATAAAGTATGAAAACGGTAAGCAGTGCAAGTATAGTATAAAATATATAGATATTAATTTCATGATGATAAACATTGTGGAACGATGATGAAAAATGTGAACGGAAGGGGCGACGTAAAACTGACACAAAACAACAACAAACTTTTACCGAGCCAATTGGAGAGTTTCATCAGCAGCACGTGGTAAAAACCACCAATGAGCGCTCAGCTCGAGATACCAGCGAGTCGTTTCCCATCAAGCATTTCGCTTCCGCAGCCCGTGGAGAGGAACTGCGCAGACTCGCCACGCCTCGCTCTTAAGGCTGCGGGCTTCTTTGTCCCGCGAGATTTCAACATCTCATGTAGGCGAGCCTCCAGAGCAAGTCGGACAAAATGACTAACCATCATGCAACGCACTAGCAAGACGTTGATCGCAACTGCGCAGGTCTGCGCAGGTCTCGCTTGTCTCAAACAAGCCTAGTAACTTAACGTCACAGCAGGCATAACAACAGCCAGTGTTTCTCGTGAGGGTTTTCCCCGGGAAACAAACGCAATACACACAAACGCATAATTACACAAACACACACATGTATACACACACACACACACTCGCGAGCTTCCCCCAGACCAGTAATCCAAACGAAAATATCTTCCCTCCGTAGTATTTTGATCATTTGCTAATAATCAATCAGATCGATGGATTCCAGAGAAGAGAAAACTTTGAAGGCCTTTTTCTCAAAATGATGACTCGGTGACAGTCATTATATAATGGGACATATTTCGCTTAATATTTGGAGTACAACAACAATCCTGATATCATTAGAAAGCTAGGAATCTCCTCTTTCCAGCAGTGTATACAACTCAAAATGTGTCTTCGGGTCAATGCGACTGATTTCGATAGAGCAGGTCACATATATATATCCTATATATATGCTAAGGTCCCGCTACTGACACGATAGCAGTCATTTAGTGCGCATACAGTATGTGTAATTAAACCCATGATATCAAAATCTCACTCCAGCCAGGTACCCAAAGTTTGCAACAGTGGCGGCGCTAGGGGGTGGCTACTTGGGCTCAAGCCCCGGATGTTTTCTGAAAAGCCCCGGATGTTTCACTTAATAAAAAAAAACTTGGGAGTAATGTGCAGTACCGGAGTCCACCAGAGAGGCAGCCACTGTGGGACATTAGCCTGCGTACTGCGTAGCCTGCCCTGAAGAAGAAGTGATCCTTCCTAGTGCCTGACGAGTTTTAAGCTAATAGCATATACAGTTATGGATATTAGAAAGTTATTGTCATCGAAGCAGCAGCAGTATCAGCAGCAGCAGTATCAGCAGCTGACAACAATGTCATCACCAGCAGTCAAGAAATGGATGATGTTTCAGGTTTGTTAATCTAATGGTGATATCTGCACTCTGGCTGACTGAGTAAGAAGTGAAAAAGAGTGATGTAACGTTAATGTTATAGCTAGTAAACATGGAGTAACCACACTAAGTATCCCCTTATATGTTAGTATGTATACAGAACATGACTAAAAATTATCCTAAGATGTAACGTTAACCCTTCATACCTCAGTCTACTTTTAAGACACTAAAATAACGTATTCCAATTTTTATTTTGTTTTCACGCGTGGAATTATACCGGCTCTCGTTTCAGTACACATAACAACAGAACTGACAGGCAACCCTCTGAATCAGACTCCGATTGGCTGTGACTGCATCCACTCAGAGTGTCCGATTCAGAAACGTGACTCTTACGGCCCGTCCACACAGCGGCGTGCGTTGAAGCTTCCAACGCTTCTGCCCATTCACTTTGAATGGGGTGACGTCACTTTTAGCCGAACTGCATCGTGGGAAGCGACGCGGAGCGTTGCTGGCGTGGCTCGCTGCAAAAGTTGAGCAATGCTCAACTTTTGACGCCTCGGCAGAAGCGTCAGCCAATCGAATCATATGCCAGTACAAGCTCTAGCCAATCAAACCGCTGCTTGTGTGTCAGGGGCGGGAGATTCATGTGATTGGTTGTTGGTCGAGTGTCAGACACGCCCGCCGGCAAGCGTCAACGCACGCCGCTGTGTGGACGGGCCGTTACACTCTTTACGTCACAAACAAAGATGGTGGATGAGAATAGATCTATAAAACGATAAGCAATGCGCCAGAATCAAGGTGAGACTATCCGCATCCTTTAAAACTCTACGCACATTCGTTTCACCTTAATAAGTAAACGACTATTTGAGTGAGTTAAGGCATTAGTTTGCTTCATTAAAGGGTGTTAATGAGTGTTCTCCAGTGCCTTTTGTCCGCTTTAAGGTGTTATTAATGTAGGGTTAATGTTGCTCTCAAAGTGCACCAGATTGATGCTTTCAATTTCAATATTTAAAAAAAAATCTTCCCGGGGGAGCATGCCCCCGGACCCCCCGAGAGGAGGCGACGACCCCCCTAAAGAATGTTCGGTCCACCCCCCACTTATAAAAAATAGCACTGTACCCCTGCACCCCCCCCTGCCTACAAGCACTACTGCTTGTAGGCAGGCATGACAGTCGACCCATGTTCAGGGGAGGTGGGTTTAGTTTCCTGCACGCCTCGACGTAACGGAGCGTCCACACTACAGCTTCAAAAAAAGCTTGGAGCTGGGCGTGTCTGAAGCTTGGGGATGTTATGGAGAGGCGAAGTCACGCCCATCTACTTCCGGACCATGGGACCCCGGAAGCGAACAATTTACATTGAATTCAATGGAGAGAGAACACGTATCTTTTTATCCCGTTTGAATTGTGCCACGAACTACACATATGATGTTTGTCAATCTTAAACAATAATTTCCATGTCAAAAAAGTCAAATTTGGTCGTAAAACTGCTGAAATATAAGACTATGAAAAATACGCTACTACAAAGACTACAAATCCCAAATCCCATTCTGGGTCGCGTAAGTGATGTCACAGGCATGCTCGGTGATTTATAATAAGACTCGTAATTAAAGCGAAGAAGAAGAAGATCTCATAACTGATTTATTCCCTCCAATAAATTATAGATCGCTAAAAATAAATTCACTTTTACAAGATGCCTGTGTGCTTTGTACCAGGTTGTAGTCATAAAAGTGATCATACCACTTGCTCCTTCTATCGATTCCCGTCTGATGAAAGGACCAGGAGTCGCTGGATCAGACATATCAGGTAATATCATAGGTAATATACATGTTGTGCATGTTCATGTGCATAGTGAAGTTAGCTACCTAGCTAGTAGCGACGAGTAGCGAGCACGTTAGTTAGCATTACTTTACTTAGCCTTGTCATTTTTAGTAGCCTTACCATGAAGTTATTATTTTATTACATGAAGTAAACCAACATTTTAAACAGTAAGAGTAGTCATGATGGTAAGTATTTCGTGAAACATTTGAAGCGTAGCCTACTGCGCCATCCACCTAAGGAAGCAGTCAGGGAGAGTCGCAGGCAGGCAGGCAGGGAGCTTTGCATGACATTCTTCTGGACGTGTTTCATTGTGATGACAGTAAGGGTGAGTCAATCTGTTTGTTGGAAAGACAGTAGTTGTGTGCTTACTGAGAGAAAATTATTAGAAGAGATAATTATTCAAAGTGTTGTTACTTTCAAGTGTTGTTACTGACCTTTTTCTCTTTTATTTTATTTACCTCACCTGTAAC